CTTTCCCACCACATAACACAGAGGGGCATGGATCACACCAAATAACGGTAATGAAGGAAAGTAATCAGTCACCCACAGTTAGTCTACATCAGCCTCAGGGCCTGGGCTGCAGGCCTGTGTTCAAGCTGTGGGGCAGAAGTGACCTGCAGTGTGCCCTGCAGCCTCTTTTCCATGTCTCCAAATGCACTATGGCCCTTTCTGCCTCCACGGCCTGAATTTTCTTCCAGCAGGAGCCAGAGTGCAGTGCAGGATGTTGCATCTTTGGGCATGCAGTTAGAGCCATGCCTGTGTGTGCATTCACAGACAGGACTGGGAAGGTCTCCCAGCTTGCACATTTCAGATAGAACCTATACATGTTCCAAATGAAGTTGAAAAAAATGCTGATGTACGATTCTGTACTGATAGAGCTATCACCATGTACTGTGTGTGGCCTAATTTCAACTTTTCCAACTGCCTTCTGACAGCTAAAACATGTTTGAAAATTACAGTGGATGGCGAGGATGGATTTTTCTTTGATCGTAATGCTAGCTACATTAAAGTGATCCCATGCCAAACTCACTGTATGTAATGCAAGATTTTTCTCAGGAAATATTTTGGAAGAAAAATCTTCATGTACTATTTTTTTTTGTTCAATGCCTGAATAATTAACTTACATGCTAGTGATTTATCATTTGACATTAGGAAAATCTAATTTGTTACACTAGAGAACCGAAACAAAGTCGAACCACAAGTGTGTAACTTGTACTGTATATCTGCATAGCGCGGATTATTTTGAGAATATAGTGAAAAGCCTTTCAATGAATACCAAATGAAGGAATAAACAGATACCTGTTGAAATGGCATGTGCCTGCCTAATGAACAACACAGATTATTAAATGCCCATGGTGTTTAGGAATGGAAAAATATGTTATACATCAGTTGGAGCTAAATGGAGCCTGTCATTAGAGGGGCTGTTTCACACCTCTTCTTTCTAATTCCTTTTTAACTCTGTACATCAAACTGCCAGGATTGGTTTCTAACATTAATTGTTGTAGTTGGATTGTTGACTGAGGAAAGAAAAAAAAAGAAAGAAAGTTTTCAGGATTGTTTATTTCCTTCTCAGACTCCAAGACCAAATTATTTGTTTGATTTAATCAGGCTGAGCTGCGGAATAGTATTCAGGAATGCAGTGAGTTACCACAGAGTCTAACTGCTTTTGTGAGTGAGTGCAATGATGAGGGAGGCAACGTGTTGCATTACATTTCTAGTTATGTTATCTGCATCCTCCGTTAGATACTACCATTCAATTAAGACTTGACTTTGTTATCCCCTGATGATGGCATCACTCATTCTTTCTGTTAAGGCACAGTGTAATGTTAAAACCAGATCACTTGGACAAAATCATGGTGTCCCTCTCCCCCTTTCTCAGCCACATTTAATGTACACAACATTTCTCCCTCTGTGTTTTTACTGATAGCCAAACGCTTAGCAATGTACCAAGAACTTGATTCTGAGGAAGATGAGTCAGCCCCAAAAGGAGGAACTCTATCCCAGCGGGATAGTATCTGCAGCCATCAGAGCATCAAGGTAGTCCACAGAAGCCAGAGCACCAAAACCCACCGACGCACGGGTAGCAGAGCTGAAGCAAAAAGAGCAAGCATACTCTCAAAGCACACTGCATTCAGTAGCCCAATGGTAAGTCATGAGAACTAAATGCACAGCATCCTGTATGTTTTAATAGAACAATGTTCTGGAAAGGGAAAGGTAAAGAAATGTGTAGCACATCGTGTACCTCTTATAGACTTCGTGTTGGCATTGTTTCTTCATGTTGGCATTGTTTCTTCTGTAGTCACAGCTGTTTGTCCAAAACCAATCAAGTGTTGGCATAGATCTTATCTAAATACTTTCTCGGTGAGAACAACATAAAGGTAAAGACAATCTCAAACTTTGTTTTAGTTAAACCTTGATTTTGAAAAGAAAATTTATGCCTTCTCTTTATCTACAGAAGCTGAGAGGTTTGAGGTCAAGTGTTCTAATTGCTCTGTGTAAGCCTCTTCTTTTCTCTTTTGTCAGAGGATTTTGAAACTAACAGATGCTGAGCTGGACACCATGTGTTCCAATTCTTAGACACTGTTGACATACACCATAGCATAAGTTTTAGTGTGATTCAAGTTTATTAATGAATTGTATGTGTTGTATTTCAAAAAAAGAAAAACAATTGCCTTTCAAAATATTGGTGAATTTATGTCCTTGCAGCTTTGCTTTGGTTAATTTATTTTATGCTGTTGTAATTCAATGGAATTTTTACATGAGCTGAATAGTAATATGACAGCAGAGAAGCCAAGTCTTGTCTGTCTACAGATTTTGCATTGTTGCACTATTGACACAAATCCACGCTCAAAACAAATTACAAATATAGACACAGAAAGATGCTGTTTGCATTGATAGAACTTCTTGATTTTATTCAAGAGTAAGCTCTTTTGGTAAAATTTGAAGTTGCACTTTTTACACATGGGGTTCTGTGGCTGCTCAGATTCATCAGCTGCTGAGCATCAGCAGATAAAATTCTACTGAAGAAAGAGCCTTAGGTTGGTTTATCTTTTAATTTTTTGTATCCTTGCATCCTGGTATCTTAAGAAATACCGGGGTTTGCTCTGACAAGAAGTAGATGAAATGAGTGGAAAGTGCTGGTGAAACAGAGTGCAAAATGCTCTGTGTTTCGATGTTAAAAAACACATGCTCTCAGATGTGTCAGTGTTTGTTGTCCTCTAACAAACAATCCAAGATGGTTTCATTTTATTGTGCTGATGTAAGACAGAACTTTGAATGTCATTGTTGTCTAATTTTTCCACTCTTTTGGTCTCTGTAGTGTACCACCCTTTAGTAATAGATAATAAATGTCTTAAATTAGACAGGAGAGAGGGAGTGATATGAGTATGTAGCTCTTCTCCTATCCACTAGCTGCAAAGTAGATTAATATTGCTACTATAATTATCTGTAGTGAAAAAGTTGACTACAGTTACTTACATTTACATTTCTATTGGAAGGCTTATTGTTAACTGTATGTTGCCTTTCTAGCAACAGTGTCTTCCAGTCCTCTCTACCTTCACTCCGTTGTGTAAGGCCACCATAAAAACTCCTGACACTGTTTTGGATGCTTTGATTGGTTGTTGCTGCTTTGGAAATTTGCAGAATCACTGATATTAATCATTGCTGTTTATTACTAGGAGAAGGACATCACGCCTGACCCAAGGTTATTAGAAAAGGTGAATGAATGTGCAAAGCATCTGGAAGTCATGAGGAGCCATGAGCAGCCATTATCCCATTTGAGTCCAGAACTATGTGACATTTTTGACTTCTTCATTGCTTTGACTATATGTAATACAGTTGTGGTTACTGCACCAAATCAGCCCCGACAGAAGGTGGGTTAAAGAAGCAGCAAAAGAGAGTTTAATCCTCTTTTGGATTGACGCTAAATTATCTTGTAAATTGAGGAAATTAAAACCTCCTGTTCTAGTGAGAAACAACTAGAACTTGTGAGACAACTCTTAGAACCGCTATGTGAATTAGCAGGTTTAATTAAGTATTAGTTAAATGGAGTATGTCAGCTTAACTTGAAGGTAAGATATACTTTCCTCTACGATTTACAGATAGTTTTGAAACTTTCCCAATTTCTTGTACTGGAACTTATTCACTTAATAAACATAAGGATGTGTGGAAGTATGTGTGGAAACTAAACTTCTAAATGTGCAAGACTTCCCAGAAGAGAATATAAAATGTCTGTGAATCTTTTGTACATATGGATTAAATTAATAAAAGACTGAGACATTTTTTAAAAGTTTAAAAATATAATATACTTGAAAAACACTGTTTAAAACTTTCAAATTATGTAAAAGATGCATCTTACGCTCATTATGAGAAATAACAATCTTTACTGCTTAAATTGTCTTAAACCAGTGTCATTGATGTATAAGAATTTCAAAAATGCCATCCCAAGATGATCTGTAAGACAAAAATATAATGGAATGTAGTATTAAAGCTAGCCAGCAGATGGAATTTCCATTCTGGAGAAAATTCTGAGAGTTGTTTCTGTTCCAGATTGGAATAAAAAGTGAACTAGTCTGCAAAATGACATGTTTTTGTGCCACGGAAGCATTTGGAGAATGCTTAGTTCTGCTGTTTCAGGAATGCTACACTGTTACACAATAATTTAATATATATTACTATGAATATGCTATTATTATTAATAACGTTGTATCTGTAAAAAAGATTTAAGTAAACGGAGGTGAGTGATAGAACTGAAGCAAAATGCTTTGATGCTGAAAGAGAAGACAACGGAAATTATTTATTGCAACATGTTCCTATTGAGAATGCTGTCGACATTGGCATATTCTCATAAACCTTTTCTGATATTACACTCCTCAATACAAAACTCTTTCATTAACTTTATTTTACTACCTTCACTGAGTATGGACAAAGAATGCCAATGTGTCCTACTAACTATAAGTTTCAGTATGCACTCCTGGTGGTGGTGCAGCATTGATAGTCTATCCATTAGTCATATCTCAGGAGGGGAAAGATGAAAAAAATATTTTTAATACAAACATACATGCTTTCACACAGGGGCAAAATTGTGAAGTTCTAGTAAGTTTTTCGCTGTTGAGTCAGTTTTGTCCGTTTCCTTTCTCAAAACACAAATGCCATTACTATTTGTTCTCAAATAAATTATCCTCTTTAGTTGGAGCTGCTTAGACTGAATATGAGTGTCGTAATTCTTGTACAGCTTTTCTTCAGGTTCTGTTCATTGATTTGTTTTTTTTTTTTTACTTCTCAAGGTTAGAGATCGATTTGAACTAAAATCTCCAGTAAAAACAATAGAAGACTTCATACGAAGATTCACTCCAAGTCGCTTGACCTCTGGATCTAACAGCAGCAGTTCTTCTAGTCTAGCTACAAGCAAATCAATGCACAGATTTGGTTTAAGTGTGCTTTCATCTACATCTACAGATAGCACTTTATTAAAACTGGAAGAGAAGCTAGCATACTCTGCGCAGATGAATAACAATGGCTACAGCTCCCAGCAAGGCCGTACAGCTGTGGGGAGTGGACCTGAGGAAGGAGAACTCCGTTATGAAGCAGAGAGTCCAGATGAAGCTGCTCTCGTCTATGCAGCAAGGGCATATAACTGTTCTCTGGTTGGAAGGCTGTCTGACCAGGTATCAGTGGAGCTACCTCACCTGGGAACATTAAGCTTTGAAGTATTACATACATTGGGCTTTGATTCCGTCAGGAAGAGGATGTCAGTAGTGGTCAGACATCCTCTCACAGATGAAATAAATGTTTACACTAAAGGAGCAGATTCAGTTATTATGGATCTTCTTCTACCCTGCTCTTCAGGTATGCCTCTTACCTGCCTTTGCAGGAGTGGGGAGCTGGGAGGAGGCGGTTCTGCTTAACTGCTGGAAAACTCATTGTGTCTTATTGCCTTCTCTAGCAAGTAGACCTGCCTGCTTTTGTTGTGAATATAGGGAATGGTAGAATGGCAACCATCTCTCTTTTTTTATAATATTTTGTTATTATAGCACATTTTCTGTAACAAATTACTGGTTTCTTACCTTACAAGAATGAGTAAATTCATTTCAGTATAGGATCTTCTACTAGAAACTTTATTTTGGAGGAATTTCTTGAAACTCTGCCAAAGCAATTTACGTTTCTTCAGGAAAACCTGCCTGTTTTTTTTTATATGAAACCCAAGCACTTCCTGTTGAAGCTCCCCGCTCTGTTTCATTTGCGAGTCTTTACCTCCTTTTGTTGCAGTAAGTTTGCATAACTCAATGCTGGTTTGACTATGAAGCTAAAGGGTACTATGAATCAATCAGCCGTCAAAACAGAAAGTTGTGGCAAAAGAAGGAGAGATGCTGCTCAGATGTCAAATCTTGGCTTCAAATATGTAGTTGACTAGTAGGGAGTAGATGTGTAGCTGTGAACATGAAGTACTTCCCTAAAGCCTGGAGAACTTCTCCAGCACCCAGTTGTCTCATGAAACAGGGGCAACTTTAGCTGCTAATTGTAATCAGTTGGATTCAAGAAGAACCCTGTAAGCTTTCAGAAGTTAGAGGAGACACATGGGTTTCAGTGCATGAATCAGTTTGCATCTGATTTACTGTATTTTCAACACTGAATTTAATCCAGTGTTTAAACGTTAGCCCAGTATGAATGGACAGAGCCCACAAGTGCTAGAGGTACTTCCCATGTTTCACTAATGCATTGACTTTGTGGTTACTTTGACATTACTTGGAGTAAACAATTGTGAAAGGCTTATACTGTGTAATTTTAGTCTAATGAAATACAGAAAAATGTTGGCATTAGTTTTCTGTTTACAGCCATATAAATCAAAGCTGAGCCAAAAAAATTAAGAACAACTTGTCCTTAACTAACAACAAAGTATTCATAAATAATTTTCTAGTAAAGATCTGATATTACAGAAGGTACATAGAGCATCTGTGGAAACTTGTTTCCCTCCAAAGTACTAACAGAGAATTTGTAGTACTTAGAATTTCTTACAACGTACCGAAAAAAAAATGTTTGGAAATGAGTTCTCAGAATGAGATCTGAGCATTAAAAAGAAAATAAAATATTATTTTATGCCAAGTCTCAAATATTTTGTCACCATATAACAGACTATGTTTGAAGCTGCTGGGTCTGTTCACAGTCAAATTAATGGATCAAGGAATTGGCAGGCAAATTTCAGGTGGATCTAGGACCCATGTGTGTAAGATCAACAAGGCCAGATAGAAACCAAGCAGCAACATTACCAAAGGTGGTATATATGTCAGAGAAGGGGGAGTGAAGTCCCTGAAGATTGGTGCTGGCAGTAAATAGATTCTGTAGCTGGGCAAATACAGCAATTCCACAACCTTCACAGGCAAGCAAATTGAAGATGTCTTCGAGGTTGAAGTTTTTTAGCCCAAATTGAATATTTTGCTTTTGCAAGCAATGTAAGGTGCAGCCACTAGAACCTCATAAGGAGTTTCCTTTGTTTTCTAGCCCTGTAAGCCACTGCTAGCTTCAGTAATTCTGTATGTTTCAGTGGATGTGCCTGAAAAACGTTTGACATTGTTGAGCAGCTTCACTCCTGGAAGTGAATTCACAGTCTCTGTCTACAGTATCCTAATGTCAGTGGATATGTTGTCAGTTCCTGAGGGAACAGCATATTTTTCCTATTACAAGGAGGTATTCCCCAGGTAGAGGGAGCCCCAGAAGGTTTATGCTGTGGCTGTTATCTGTATGGTGGGATCTGTCTGTGGCTTCATCCTGTTCTCTGGTGACGGTGGAACATGAGTGTGAGAGGAGATGTAATGCTACAAGAATTCAGGCATTTGTTATTTCAATGAATCAATCAATAAGTGAATCGACATGACAGCTAATACCAGTGCTTGCTCTTTGCTGTCTTAGTGCCTCAGGGATATGTAAGTTGTACACCAGTCAAGCATGCATCTTGAGACTTTGTGGTAGTTGTGCTCTTGGACTGAAAGAACAAAGCAACGCTGTGTCCCTAATCTCCCAGCTCTGACATCACGTTGCATGACTGAGTCCTATCAAACACAAAGGTCCTGTTTGGGAGGAATAGCATTTTAAATACGACATGAGGAACAGCTAGAAGCAAATGTATTATGTTGTAGCTTCAGCTGTGTCTTACGGAAAATCAGAAATCACCATAAGCTTCAAAACTGAATTGAATTGACTCTGCATTGTTCCATTTGACTGAATGGATTAACTCCATTTGTTCTGCCTGTATATCTAGTTGAGACTGTGAGACCTGACATTTTCTGATAGCATACATATATTTCCAAAAGCCTTTAAATTATTCCCAAGAGTGCATTGTTTTTGCTTTATCTGAAGAGTCACCTTGTTCATAAATAAGTAAGTTACTGTTTGAGTCAATAACCAACTTGCACAAGGAACTGTGAACATAAGTCACTGAAAAACAATGACTGGGCTGGCTTTCTGCAGCTTGCGATTATGGAAGGAAATGAAGCAAGAAAAACGCCACTAGCTCTCTGTCATTCTTCTGGAGAAGACTTATTTGCTGGTTTTCACTTGGGTGCATGTCGTCACACTGCTCAGCATAGACACTGCATCCCAGCTAAAAAGAATCTCCACGACTGGGTTTTGTCTGCAAGAGATTCCTTCCCTCTTTTTAACTTCTGAGTAGAAGATGAATCCGGGGGTCGGACTGATGAGGCACGTGAAGAGCTAGAACAGGTTGAGCTCTCATTGTTATGCTAGTGGAGGAGGGAGATGCAGTCTTCTATGCTGGAATTGAGAACTGGCACAGAAAACAGTGTGCGCATCTCCACTTGTAGAGAATTACTGACTTTGTTAATTGAAGGTGGTGTAAGCATTTGGCACTGATCACTGCATTAGTGCCCCTGGTACCCAGACAAATCTGAAGTGATTAACAATGCTTAAACTGATAGAAATTACTTTTGATGTGTTTAAGCACCTATTTGAGTTTGCACCATTTGAAGTGAGTCAGTGACTGAGACAGCCACTCCCATAAGAGTTTTGTGTGGGATATGCAAGAAATATGACATTTCTCTCTTGAATAGTAATGTATCACAATAAATTAGGAAAAGTGCTTGCCTACTTTATTCTTCTAAAGTCAAAAAAATTGACTCACTAATACAAGAAGCCTACAAGAAGGTTTGCTGCAGTACATCTCTCAGAAAAAAATTTCTTCTATTACACAGCCAAGTCACATATGCCAAAAAGATTATCATGCACAAACAGAAAAGAAGCTAAATGAAACTGTGTTAGGTTGCCAGTTTAGTGTTCCAGCACATTTCCACTCTGTGTTGCAGCTGAATCTAGTTGGGCGCTGGTTTAATAGCCTCTGAAGGAACCCTGTGGTGTGTGTGTCAGAGCCACAAGCTCTAGTTTAAGAAGGGGCTTTCCAGTTGCAAGTAGTATTTGCAGGGATGTTTTTCTGGAATAATATATCTGTATTGACTCTTTGAGAAAATCTAGTGATAGCATAGGTAGCATTAATAGATAGATGGACAGGCCCACCAGAATGTTCACCACACGACCTTAATCAGAGACAGAACTAAAATGAAGGGATGCTTTAAGTACCACAGTCTTTGTGGAGTCCCTTAGGAACAGCTGGGTTTGTACATTCCCAGCTTTACAGACCTAGAGAGGACAGGACAGTCTTTAAAGGTGAGAAAATAGCTATACAGTAAGTAAAATGTGCTGATGCATGGTTGAGATAACAGGAATGAAACACAGAATATTGGGATTCCAAGTTCCCAGCTCCTTCCTTCCTACAACATCAATACTTGTACATGTTTGTGCTGGAGCCTCTGAACACCCAGTTTGACACTGTGCTGCTGGATAAATATGAAAGTGCTGAATGCTATGTAAGTTTAGAGACAGACAGATAGCCGTGTATATACGCGGTCACACATAGTAAGAACAAATTGGGTATGAATGCGGACTGGGAAAGAGGAAAGAGGTCATCGAAAAGTACAAACAGTAAGATATTAATGTCATCTAATGTAGAAACTTGTATTAAGTGCTTAATATAAGGGTATAGTGCCCATAGGTTCTCAGTGTGGTCAGTCGTGAGAGGTGAGCACATCCAATGGGTGAACTGAGATCATATGCAGCAGGTCTTTTCAGGTGCTCAGACTTCTGGTGATGAGTGTGTTCTCCTGGCTCTGTGACTGGTTACTGTGCAAGTACCAGTAACACGAATATTGCACTAGGGAACAGCTCCAATTACAAAATTATAATCCTGAAATTATTCCACACCTCCAAAAAATGCACAGACTTTAGAAAAAAAAATATATGACTTCAGGGAATGGGAAAACCTGTCATAAGGTACTGGTCATTCACACTTGATGGTTCCAATCTAAAAACGTACCAGCTTGTACATTTACTTTAGTACTAACCCTGCAATACGCATTATTTAAGGTTGCTGCTACAGTACATTGTACATGAACCTGTCATGATCCTAGGTGATAAAAAAGATGCATATCACCTGTTTTTAACTTTTGAAGACATCATTTCAGGTAAATGGATGGAACAAAAGGTGTGACCATCATATTCATTACTCTTTTTTGATCACAGTGTGAGCACATTGAACCAATCCCAGATAAACAGAGAAAAGGAACAGATGCTCAGTCCTGATTTTGAGTTTCTTACACATGGCTTTAAGTGAAGAGTAAAGCTAAGTAGAAGTTGTGCTGCTGCATTCAAGCTAGAAGCTAGCTGTGAGGTCTGCACCACTGTAAATTCTTGTGTAAATTGACTCATAGTCATACCCAGAACTTCTTGCATTGACTAAGGCTGGTAGGTAGTATCAGTACAGCAGTATCTTCACACACTTGAATATACAAAACAGAACATTGTCTCTGGTTCTTTTGAGATATTAACATTGGTGGAAAACTGAGTGGTAAATTTTTAAGCAAGTGTCATTTTTTTGCACATGAGATATGGAGAAGCATTTGCTAGCAATGTATTTGAAATCATACTTCTCTTTCTGACGTTATTGTTGCTGTGAAGATTGTAATGATTTCTTAAAGTATTCAAGCCAAACAAATACTTAAGGAGGAAGAAAAAGAAGGTCTTTCTAATATACATTCACAATTACTTTTGAAGAGAGAAGACAGATAAGATAGAACAAAAAGACAAAGATTTTTTTTTTCTAAGTGGAATGTTTTACTTGAGTTTTCCCAGGAGACATCAGCAGCTCTTTAAAAGTATCAGTTATAAAGTGTCATTACAGTGAGTAGACAAGTTTTTATTCTCTGAGGCCATTCAGCTGCTGTTATTTTTCAATCACTAATTTACTTTTTTTTATTCTTATCTAGATGGCCCTCGGGGTAAACATCAAAAAAAAATCCAAAGCAAAACCCAGAATTACCTTAATCTGTATGCTGTAGATGGGCTGCGGACCCTCTGTATTGCAAAAAGAGTAAGTAGATGCAGACTCTTAGTTTGCTTTTAAGGAAAGTCTTGACAAAGATTTCTGAACACATTTATTAATTTATTGTTCTTGATTCATAACTTCTTTTTCATTTTATTCAGTAAAGTATGAATGCCTCTGCATCACATTGACTGTACCCTCACATGCTCTTTTTAATAGGTTCTCAGCAAGGAAGAGTATGCCTGTTGGTTAAAAAGTCATTTAGAAGCAGAATCCTCTATTGAAAATCGTGAAGAACTTCTGTTTCAGTCAGCACTGCGGATAGAGAAGAATCTGCATCTGCTAGGTAATGAAATGAGAGCTGGACATGAAATTAAAATACCTTAAAAAATTTGAAAGTTTGGCTATGAAATCCATTCTTTCCCTTAAATGGTTTCTGACAGTACAGAAATTGGATTCTTTTGGATTTTGTCATGGCCGCCATGTGCAGCACCACAAAGGAATGGGATATAATTGACATAACAGCCATATCCTGTTTTCCTTGTTCCTGCCATCATTTTATCACTAGTGAAATTAGTGGAGTAATACCAGGGATGAATTTGACACATAGCATAAATAGGAACTGCTGCTATAAACAGGAGGAGGACTTGGCCCAACCTGTCTACAAAATTTCATCAGCTTAGTGCCACTGCAACATGTCAGAGACTTCCATGACTCCAAGGACACCAGAGACTCGTAAAACAAAGCTCATAAACTGTATTTGCGAGAGGCATCAGCTCTCATATACATCAGGTTCAGCACGTGTGCTCAGGGCTTGTGTATTCTGTGGAAGGGGATTGCTGTACTTCATAATGATGCAGTTACAGTCAGTGTACGTAAAATATATTCCAAGGACAAAGTCATACTCTTCCTCTGCTGACTTGAGATGTTGAAAGCACTGAGATTCTAGAATGTATATATATACATTATTACTCCAAGCATCCAACAGCTTTTCCTGACAGAGAAACTGGGATAGCCGTAACACTGTTGGAGATAACAGACTTCACAAATTGCCAACATGCCTGTCTCTGGGAGATGAGATCCACCTTACCCAGCTTCTCGTATATCTACTGCAGATCTATAAGGCTCCCCTTGCAACCAATGGAGAGACAAAAAAAGAAAGTGCAGTTCCTTTGGTCTGTCTTAGCTACCTGCTTTAGGACTAGATGAATCACACCCTTGGAGTGTCTGTTTCTATCCTCTGACTAATTCGGACCACATGGAAGGATAATCAGGAAGATCCCACCATTGCTGTGACTGTTGGCTCTGGATGCACTCTGAGGAGGAAAAAAAACCCAAATGGGTGAAATAGAACCGACAGACAAATAAGTGAGCTCTAGCCAGAAGTCATTCCCCAAGAACTTTATCTTTGGTTTGTATCTTGCAATGATCAGTTATGGTTAGGTTGTGGGAATAAATAAGGGAGAAATCTCTAGTGACCCAGCCTCCTCTTGTGAGGAAAGGCATTTACCTTAAGAACTGAAACAATCTCCCAGAAGCAACAATATCTTCTCTGGCAACATTCAGAACAAATGGTGAAGATACAGAGCAGAGGGACAGTGAGCAAAGATACATTAGCCTTGTGAAGCTCTGCGATTAGAAGTGGCATCAGATTGCTTTCGAAGTTTTGAATTCCGGATTTGTTATTGACTGTTGATGCAGATGTTTACCCCAGCTACTTTCTGCTTCTCTCTCTCAATACCCCAAAAAAGCTGCTGAAATCTTGCAACCATTGGTAGTTTAGCTATTTCCCAATAAAAGTAACTGCTGTGTTTTTTTGAACACTCCAGACTTACAATTTGAGGTGAACCCTAAGTGTTCATTTAATGTGTGATATTTTGCTTTTTCTGTGTGCTTAGGTGCAACTGGCATTGAAGACCGTTTACAGGATGGTGTTCCAGAAACCATTGCAAACTTGCGCAAAGCTGGGTTGCAGATTTGGGTTCTTACTGGAGACAAGCAAGAAACAGCTGTTAATATTGCATATGCCTGCAAGCTACTAGATCACGATGAAGAAATCATCACTTTGAATGCTGAATCACCAGTAAGCAGATCCAATACACAAGTTTACTTGTGAACTATCTTTGCTTTATTTTCAACTTGTACAATTAAAAGTTTGATGGCTTTTTTTTCCTTTCCCTCTTTTTTTGTCTTCTTTTCCTGCTTCATCCGTAATTTTCAGGTAGGACATGTCCTTGAATACTTTTCAGTGAATCATGCTTCTGTGTCATAGTGTCATATATCATAAACTTACTGAAGCCAAGTAACTGTGAGCTTTATTTTACACCACTGAAATGTAGTATTTAGATAACTCAGTCGTTCATGTTTTCTCAGGTGGCTTTTTCTCTGGAGATAGAAGCAATACTTAAATTTTGATGCTAACACTGAGAGTCAGAAAACCACATCTACAGTAATGCCTTGCTTCCTAACAGACCTTTTCTAATTCTTCTGAATTACTGATCTTTCCTGTGCTTAACTTGTTGCAAGCAGACAGTCACAAAGAGATTACTGTCTAACATACAAGGAACCAGACTGATAGTGCTGTAGTCCTTTAATGGGGTGATAAAATTGGACTTCAGATCAGCAGAGGAGAGGTAGGCCAGCACTATCCATCTCCAGTTTCTTTCGAAAGGAAGAAAAGATAACAGCATTTTCCATTCTTGAGTGTATCAACTGAACTGGTAAATTGATTTTCCATGATCTTTCTTTTTTGTCATACTTTGTGTAAGACCAATAGCATTTAATTTTAAATGTTCATGTATTCTCAATAACATCTTTTATTTGAGTATGGCTAGGAGAGAGAATTAAGCTTAAATAACCTTTAGTTGACCTTTATCACTATTTGAGCTGAGTTGTAGGCGTATACATGGTGTTTATCATCATACTTACCTCGGTACTGATACCGATTATATGATCTCCCAACACTGTTATTCTGAGAAGTAGCTAAAAGAAATTAATTTAACATACAGTGCTGCATGTTAAACAGGAATTAGATTTTAAGCCTTTTGAGTCCTCATTGCTGTCATATCTTCTGGAAGAACTGAGTGTGTTCAGAGCGAATAGAAAAGGAGATTATTAGAAATTAAAACTTCAACAGTATAGCAAATATAACACATCCCCTGTATTCTTTATGCCTAAATGTACATCAGAAATAAACATTTGAATACATGTTCTTTTCTCTCAAGCATATTTATTTTGAATTTTTTTTCAGGAGACATGTGCTGTCTTGCTGGAACAGTGTCTGCAATGCGTAGAGTCTAAATTTTCAAACAACAGAATAGATGAAGCTACTGGAAACATGACTATTGGGTTCACGCCTCTCTATCCACCTTCTTCCTGTGTGCTTTCCAGCTTGGGCCTAGTGATTGATGGAAGGACTCTAGCTTATGCCCTGGAACCTACACTAGAAGATAAATTTCTTGCACTAGCCAAACGATGCCGTTCAGTATTGTGTTGTCGCTCTACCCCACTCCAAAAGAGCATGGTAGTGAAACTAGTCAGAGACAAACTCAAAGCAATGACTTTGGCCATAGGTAAATACCTCCATTTAAACTATCCTGCTTTGATGTATACTGTTGCCTTGAGAATTTTGATTTTTTGACTTGCAGTAAGACCCTTCCAGCTGCCTCACAATTCAAATAGCCTTCCAATTTTGTCTGAAAATACGTTGGACATATGCCTAACATATTTACTCTAACGTATTTATTCAAAACCAAGATAAAACTCTGGAGTAGTATTTAAGATTCCTTCCTGCAGAATTTAGGTAATTGGGACCCAGATATGCTATGAGGTTTTGATATGTCTGAACACAGCTGTGAAGAACTGAGTTAGGTGATGCTGTGCAGAACGCTATTTTGCAATCACTATATCACACAGAACAAAATTGTGCTCAATGTTGTTTCATCCAATCATATTTAAACTCAAGGTTCTGCATTTTTCATCACATGTAATCCGTACAGCATAGGATATGAGTTGGCCTTGTCCATATAGAGATTAGATTTAAAATTGGCATTGTGCCAGCATTTACCCTTCTTTCCAGCTAATCATTCAGTTGGTGAAGGGGAGATTTTGGAGTCATCCTGATTTAAATTTGGCAGCGTTTTCCATGTTTCCATGATTTTTACATAAGAAAAGTCAACCAGCTCTTCTTT